CACCATGGGATCAATTTCAACACCCAACGCCAGTACTTTTTCCATAAACCCCCCACCACGCCACAAATATAATCATATTTTAAACACAACAAATATAGAATCCACCCATTAAATACAAATCTGCACTGACAAATATAGAACAACATAAAAACAGTAATGCGATCACTAACCTCACTAGCACTGACGAACGAATGATGCTCTTGGACGAACCACGAACTTGATTTCACCAAAAATCAAAATCTGCATTCTTCGAAAGGTGATTGTTGAACCCTAAATCGCCCCGAAATCGCTAAGAGATTTTACCCCAAATGTAATTAATCCTAAAATTATTTGTAACCCTAAAATTATTTTTAACCCTATCTTTTAAATTAATTTAAATCATTTTAAAATATTTTAAATCATTTTAAATTATTTTAAATCATTTTAAATTATTTTAAATCATTTTAAATTATTGTATTTAAAAAAAAATCAGAAATTCACAGTACCACCTCAACCATAACTGTACAACTCATCAGTTTTGTGCCAGCTGGGCAGCTGTGCCGTTAGTCTTTTTAACGCCGTAACCAAAAAGGACTAAAGTGCATCGTTTTTGCGAGAAGTAGGATGTTTGTGAACTTTTGAAAAAAAGGAGGACTACTTTAAACAGACCCTACGAAAAGAGGGACCAAAATACGTATTAAACCTAAAATAAAAAATGAAAAAATACCCTACCGAATGCATTGTTTCAAAATCCTCATGGGCAAGGCACTCGACAAGTCCGCGGGCAGAAAGGTGGCAGGGTAACACATTTATAATCCTAACGACCTCCAATTTAGCTGGGCTCATTAGGCCGACCGACCAAGCACTTATTTTTCGAGGCTCCCTTGTCCAGTAAAAGGGAAACAAGGGATGACATGTCCTGTCATGGAATTCGGACCGACCAGATTCTTTTATTATGACTTTAAAATATTTCATCTTAAACCCTTTGAAAGAATCAGAAAAGGGTTTGAATAACAATTTATTCTTGACAAACATCAGAAATACCCATCCTCACTTAGCATTTTGGCGTACGTTGTAGTAATGGAGAAAAACAGGAATTGTGGGAGTAATCCCCAAAGCAGAACAAACTACTACAAACGCCTGTATGGAAGCCCGACCGTTCAGGTATAGTTGGGAAGGAGCGACATTGAGCTCGCGAAGAACCATCGACTGAAAGGCTGTAAACGGAACCCGAACAGACATTTGGGAGAATATATACGCATATATGAAAAAGAAATCCTCCGTACGTGATCCTTTACCGTGAAAAACTTGTTCGTTCTTCTTTCTAACAACCAACCTTATCAAACGAGCATCCTCTATGTCTCGAACTATACATAACTATTCGACCCATCATTCTAGTTCCTTTTTAACGTTGAAGCATGACGTATAAAGCCCAACGTCATGCGACGCCCACCCGTAGCCCTAAACGATCGGTCATCCACTAGCAGGTATCTCCTCGTCATCATCAATGTCAACTCCACCAACAAGAATTCTGAGGGCCACCCCATTTATGACCCTCTCACCATGATAAAGGGGAGAGTGAGGCTCTGAGCTACCCTTCCACTCGGTTGTCTCAAGGTAGGAGGACAACACAGAGCTCGGAGATGATGACCAATCACCTCTACTTGTTGCACCCTCGTCGCCTCTGCCCGACGACTCCTCAAATGAGATAACGTGAAGAATAGCCATTATTATTACCTTGGAAAAAAGAATGAGAAAAGCTTGTCGGGCGGTATGCAGAGCAAAGAAAATAAAGTGGTAAAAATGATGACATACCCACCACCCTATTTATAGAAAAATTTTAGAAACCGTCAATCCATCGCTGCCTTAAAATTGGCCACATCCAACAGTCCCGATTGAGCGACCTTACCACTGCCCGAGAAGGAGATTGCATGCGTACACGACACGTATCTTCCCGCTCAAATGAAATTTCAAAACACGTCGAACGACCAGGACCAAACCATGACAGATCAACCACAGTACTGCTTGCAACAAACCCCAACGCCAACTATGTTTTCCAGGGCTTGGGGGGCATGTGTACAGTAGGGGCCAGACGACTTGTGAGATAATGCATATCAAGAAGACCACACAGCTAAACAGTGGATAAATGTTGCTAGCTAGGACCAAACGACCCTATCAAGGTCGGACGACCTTAGTCGACAGATAAGCTTTATGTGCAAAGATTAAGGTAAATGGTAATTAGGGGTAATGGACTAAGATTGGATTGAGATTAAGGTTTCACTAATCTGAAACCCATATAAAAAACTATAAATTGGTCAAAGATAAGAGGTAGGTGATCACATTTACTGTGCATTTAATATCACTGTTTTGAACACCGTACGGACTGTTTACTAACTTAAGTATCGGAAAACCTTTGATAGGTACCCCTGGACGGTTGAAGTGAAGACGAAGATAATAGTATCCTGGACAGCTTTGGAAGAGAAATTGTAAAGGTATTAGATATTACTTAGCCTTATACCGGAAGCAACTTAGCAAGATTGTGTGTCAAATTGTATCTCAACTATGTCTAATTGGGACACATATAAACCACCCTTGAAAATGACGAGAGTTACAAATTAGTTAGAGTACAAACATAAATCTAATTACTAAATACCAGACGTTTTATTGCTCCGTCAAATCGTGTACTCCTAAAAACTCTTCTTAGATGATCTATCAAAATGTTTAATACCCCATGACGTAGAAAATTCATTTTGGATTGCAATCTCTTTCACTTGGAATTACTTCCACCAATCAACATTCAACAAGATCTGAAAGTACATAAATTTGATTTTGCGAATTAGCTTCATCAACATATTTGTAGGATTTTATTTAATGTTGATCTTCTCCACTTCAATCATCTTCATCTTCTATATATGTACAAAGAAAATGATATTGTGATATTGATGTGGTTCGTTTTCTAACATATAGTTTTCTATTCTACTAATGATTTGCTATGAGAAATCCCCTGCTACGATGCAGAGTGAAATGTTATAGCTTAACATTTATGTTGAAATATTATGGCTTAACAAGATGGTTCTCAATTTAGTGATAAATTAGTTATTAAAATAGACAAAATAGTTTTGCCAAACATAAATTATTAGACTTTTTTATTCAATAACTAATTCATGTTATCTATTCTTTTAATTACTAAATTGTTGCTTTATCCTTTTAAAAATTAAGGAATTGATTTTTTAATAAATAAAGAAATTAAATTGAACCAAATTGAGTGAATAAAACAGTAACTTAATAAAAGCCTAATTAAATCAAATAAATAATGGTAATTACAAGTGGACGTTAAAATGTAGATGTTACATTATCTTCTACACTTCACCATAACAGCAAGCAACAGCTGTACCATCCTGAGAAGATTTAGTTTCCAGTTTATGTCGGCATAACCTTAACACGAACACCCTCAGCAATTCTCGTAACTTCCCCTTTTCTCTCTCTGAATTTCCCATGTTTGGGTTTAATGTTTTCATCAAGACGTTGTCTTCTTTTTTGTTTTTCATGATTTTTTAGCTTTTTTTATAAGCTCGTGTGTTTTTCGTTGCTTCTACTCTCTCTATTTGAAATTTATGCCACCAATCGCTTTTATAATTCAAACTTTTCGTGGCTAAGTCATGTCTCTCTTTTTTATTAATTTCATTTTTGAATCCTAGACTCCACACTCACTAGTTAAAATCTTAGCTACAATTATGGGACACATGATGGGTGGTTTAGCATTCCAAGAAAGGTGGCATCTTTGGTGTGCTTTGTTTTCCTGGCCTATGTTTCACCATTATATTGGGGGTTAATCTGATGGACATGGTGTTTCGTCTTGTTGAAATATTAAGTTCATAAACTTGGCAACTGCTTGTTGAAATGTGTAAACTATTACAATCTCAGACTTAGAGAAGTTCAAATTTAGGTAGTATTATGAGATGCATTCGTAGACAAAATAGATGGTTTATCATTGCAAGAGAGGTGGAACGCTTTAGAGTGTTTTGACTGGTTGGCCTATGTTTCACCATTATATTGTGGTTTAATCTAATGATCGTTGTCTTTTGTCATTGAAATACCAAGTTCACATGCACGATAAATGCTTGTTTAAATGTCTAAACGGTTACAGTATCAGACTCTATTCTTTCTGTTTTTGTCAACACTTTTAACCGTGCTTCACTACCGTATCTCAAAGCTTCGTGCTGTTGTTCTTGTCTTTTAGGGATACTTCATCATGTACGATATTGATACATGCTTTGGTTGTGTTTTGTGTGAAATCCCAACAGTTTTCAGTTTTACATTCTGAGATCTAGTGATATTATTTCCCAGTCTATTTCCAGTTGCAATCACAGCCCTCATGCACTGAGTCACACCTCCTTATATGAAGCTTAACTGGCTGAGTGTTTACAGAAAAGAGTAAACAATTACACCGCTTCAAAACAATCTTTTGCAGTAGCAATTATGTGTGTATTTCCTATGTACATACAAGGGGAAAAATGCACTATTAGACTATTAGATTTTTAGGTTTAATTGAAACTTAATATCCATAATTAATAGCTGATGCCAAGTGAATCCCTGGGACAAGTTCTGTTCAATTGAGTTTTTTTGTCTATTTGTTGTTCTATGTGGGAAAGGCGCGTTCTAGGTGGAGGGTGGCCTCAGTTTTGTTTTGAAAATGCTGTGATCACTTTATGTTCTTCAGTGCTTTGTTTCTCATCTAGAATGTGAAAAACTCAGATGTGAGAATTAAATTGTTGCTATACTAAATCTACATATTTGGTTATAATTGTTGTTTTCTGGAACATAATCCACAGCTTACCGATGCCTTGATATTCTGATTTAAATGCTAGGGAATAAAGTAGCAATGGCTTCCTGTTATTTCAATCCTATCTCTACTAGCCCTCATCTTGTTTCAGCAAACTTATCAAGAAAGTTCAAGATTCCAAAGCTTCTTCACAGAGTAACTTTCTTGGACTGATGTTTTGTTGTTTCTTTGTCTTACTGATTAGTTCCCCTTTTAAATTATGGTAGTTTCTCCAGGTATCTTTCCTGGGGATATAATTAAACATGAACGTGCTTTGCACTTAAGATTAATTCTGTGTCAACTTTTTGGTGTCATGTTTGTCTTTTGATTACTTTTGATAAATGAAGTTACATACAAACAATGAAATTAATTTAATATTTGTGGAAGGCGTGATAAATCAATGAATTGAGTGAGCCTAATGTTTTGCATGAAAAGGGTATGAGTTATTATTCTATTTCATACAAATTGAAACCGATAAGGCTACAAAATTAAGGCCTAGATTTGCAATGTTTCCATTGCTTTTATGTGGGTTTTCAGTATTGAAATTCATAATATTTTTTTAAAGAAAAAAAAAATATGAATGTTAATCCTACAGAAAAAGTAAATGACTAATAGGCATAATGTGGGAAACAGTGAGGCTTTGAAATTTTGATTGTCTGTAGAATGTGTTTGGTCAGTTTCTATATGTTTTTTAGTATAAAAGGTTTATGACTGCATGGTGTAACTATTGGGATATCATCATTCCTTAACATAGAAAAGTATGAAGAACCATTGAAGGTTTACATCTAAAGTATTTGGGCAAGCTAAATGAGTTTCATTATCAGCCATCGTCTGCTTCTCTAATAGATTAAAATTGATTTTATATCATTCCTGAGAGGAGATTTATTCGCTAAGGCAACGTCCTTTTCTTATTTGTGCTGACTTGTTTTCATCATTACATTTTAAGCAGAAAAAGAGGTTTGATGGCTCACCCAGATCCTCAAAAATCACTTCATTTTACGGCTTGAAGACCCCTCCGTATGAACTTGTAAGTGATTCACTTAGTTGTCTGAATCCATGTCTTAGTTTGGAAATAAGTGTACTGTTTTGTCCTATATGCTTGGATTAGTTGAGTCATCTATTTCAGCATCAAGCTTATCGGAGAAATAATTGCATCTGTAGGTTAAATTGTTATATTCACTTGTGCTCAATCTAGGTGCTAGTTATAATTACCATTGACCTTCAACCATTGGAATGATCAAGAAAAAGAAAAACTAGGAAAGGGATGGCATTACTTTGAACTTTTTGTTTTTGGAGAAACATAAAATTATCCAACCTTCAGTGAACTCTAAAATTTAAATTACGATTTTGAAATAAATTGTGACAACTTATTTCTCTTAGCTCATTTCTTTTTACTATAACCATCTTGTTTATTGGGACAAAGAGGTATGTCTTATTGGATCTTATATTAGTAGCTTGTATGATCTTGTTATAATTATAGCAATAAGTAGTGGATCCTATATAATCGAGAATATCTAGATTCTATATCTATTATTAGGAATCTTTTTATTTATTTTTGTATCATATATTCATTGTTAGAGGATATCAAATTTCTTGTATTTATTATATCGATTCCTTTTTCTCAATGCAAAAAAAAAAAAGGATCAACGTCTAAAGAACACATTTCTCAATGTCTCTCACTTTTAGGAGATTTTTTCCAGATTTCAGTAATGGTTGGAGCACAGCTTCTTACAGAAACGGAAAATAGGAAATGTAGACCATGCAACACCTTTTTCCTGAGGAAGGCCTGTTTGTTTAGTTAGCCAGGCCAAACAGCTTACTTCCCCCTCATCCGTTACCTTCCCCTATAATGTACCCCTCCGTCTCCTCTTTCTGCATGATTTTCATATCCTCCCCTCCAATCTCCATCCAGCTTTCCTTTTTGTTATGCCCCTCTTCTCTCTCTTCTACTCCCCTCAGCTGCTGTGACGTGTTTCTTTCATTTTGAAGACAAACTAGCATTGTTTCTGGGGTCTGTTTTCCCATTCTCCTATTCCTTCAGCCCCTCCTCCCTTTCCTTCTATGTTCTTGCATAATGGGCCTATCACTGCCACTAGTGTAAATGAATTAGTGCTTTGTCTTTAGTATCATGTCATTACCCACCAATGTCAATAAAATCTTACTCTCTTTTCCGTCTTCCCGGCTTAGGCTCTATAATTTGACACAAATTAATTTTTTGAGTTATCTATTGTGGATCAAATCGAAAAAAGGTACTGGTTTATTTGCTCAATGTGAAACACAACCTTTTTACAGAGGAAAGAGTTTAGGGAAATAAGAAAGTTTCCATTCACCAAATAAACAACAGTTCTAAATAGCCCATACGACATTGTTATTGAGAATGCTAGTACTTTTTTGTGGCCCTTATAAATCGGATGCTCAACATTAAGCACAACAACCAATGTATTCCTTTCAATGATGTATTTGACACAGATACGCTTGGATATGTTTTAAATACACATCTGTAGTGTATCAGTACTTAAAATCAAAAGAGGGCTTAATATAAGCTGAAAGAGTGCTTGTAAATTAGAACTGTTGCTTTTTCGTACAAATAATATTACTCCTAAATTACAATTTATTGTCATCCTTCAAGTAAAATCTTGTTGTTTCTGGAGTAGGCATTCACCAAACTCTCACATAGAGTAATGTGAAATAGGGGAAAATAAGAAACTATTATTAAAATAAATAGTTGATTTTAGTGTTTTCTCCCCCAACTTAATACTTATCTTGGGTATATAGGGGTTTGGGTGATTGTTGATGGTTACCCAAGATGAATGGTTTGAAGTTGTTTGGCTTGCAGAATGGCGATATCCTTGTGGTCCTTCTTGGTGGGTTTATTCTTGAACGAGAAGTTGGTTTTGAGGATGAGTTGGTTGGTGAGGTTTTGGAGGGATTGTCTTAGGTCAAAGACGGTTTTGAGGGAGGTTCGAATGTCGTAAGAGGGGTAGGAAGTAGGAGTTTCGTAAAAGGGATTGGGATTGTTGGAGTTGGAACTCTGTTGAGGTTTTAAGTTGGGAGAAGTGTGAGAGGATGGAGGAGATGGATTTTGTTGAAGATTCAGAGTTTGTTGAATGGCTTTGGGGGAGCTTCGAAAGCCTTTCCACCATTGTGAAGTGCTTCTTCTGTTTCTTTGTTTTGTCTTCCATGGAGGGTGAGTGTTCTTGTTTCTTGGACTCCTCAAACTCAATTTATAACATTCTTGGAATTACATGTTTCTTATGCTTTGTTGCTTGATTTCATTGTGTTTTAAAAATTTGTTTCCTTTTGTTCTAATCCCAAGTCTGTCGAGGTACATTGTTAGGATCAATTACCATACATTTGAGGTATTGTCCGCTTTGAAGCGTAGAACTCTGTCACGATTTTGTTCTTAAAAGGCGTCTCGAAGGGTGGAATGAGTATTTAAATTGCCTTAGACCTCGACTCTTAAGCGATGTGAGACTATTAGGTGTGGTAGGAACATAAGCCCTCAATCGAGTTCTAAGGGCAATGACTAGTCATCCCCAGTGGAGGGCTTAAGGAAACTGATGGTTTGTTAGGGTCAATCACCATACATTCGAGGTTTTGTCCACTTTAGAACGTGGAACTCTGTTATGGTTTTGTCCTTAAAAGGCGTCTCAGAGGGTGCAATGAGTATTTAAACTACCTTAGGTCTTGATTCCTAAGCGATGTGAGACTATTGGACGTGGTAGGAACACCTTTAAAAAAATAAAGGAAACAACATGTGTCAAACATGTGTGACCACACAATATCTATGAAACATCGTTTGTCACATAGGATTAACTTTAACGTCCTTGAAAAATGGGAACTGAAACCAATACTTTTGAAAGTACATAGACCAAAATGTATCAAAGTTTCGACCAGAGTCGATTTCCAATTTTACTTAATAATTCAGGACCAAAAACATATTTATCTCTATTTTTATTTAGTATTCGTGGATATAGGCCTTGAGGTGCCAAAGCATATCAAATTTATTGTGTACTTTTATTTGAACTATATGCTCTTATTTTTAGGTTTTCCGTTATAAGAGATTATTCCTATTTTGTGATTTCCAACAAACCTTAATCCTATAAAAGGCTTATTTATTACCCTTGAAAAATAAGCCACCACGAACCAAGGATCCCACACCCCAACCCCTTTTTCTTAAAATAGCCTAATATATAACATTCCACTAGTATATATAAATGTCATCATTTTTATTTTTATATATTTCCAAATATTAAACATATATAAAATATATAATTTGTTATTTTTCCGTGAGTTCGTTTTTAGGAATTGATACTTGAGTACCACTTAATTAAAGAACAAGTGTTGTTATAACAAATGTTGATCGAAGCAATTCTCACCCTTACCACTTGTTCATATGAAACTAGTGCTGTAAAAATGAGTTGTAACCCGTGAGCCAACCCGGCTCACCACGGGTTTGAGCGGGGTTGGGTTTGAAAAAAATATAAGTTTTTTTATGCGAGCTAGTTTTCAACCCGGCTCATTTAGAATCCAGCTCACTGGGTTGAACCCGTGGTGAGCCGGGTTGGCTAACCAACCCACCTCATTTAATTTAATTATTTATTATTTTGTGTTTCAATATTATTAGTTAACATTTTGTTATTATATTGTGGATGGTGACAAAGAAGAAGATGTTTCTAGAGAGAAAAATATTATAGATTTATATGTTCAAGATTCTAATATTATAAATGGACAAGTGATACAAAAATTATCAATATTAAAAACTTATTTATCGTCTTTTGTACATGTTTTTGGATTACGCTTTCATTGTATGATACTTTTTTTTTTTTAATTGTCTTTGGAGTTTAACATCATTTTAGTGGATGTTTATTTAGATTTGAATTAAAAAAAATTGTAAACTTTTTATTTAAAAAAAAAACTTATAATTAAATGAGCCAGTGAGCTTACCCGTTTAACCCACCAACCCGTGGTGGGTCGGGCCGGGTTCAAATTTTTTCCGCTTGCTAATAAGTGAGCTGGGTTGGGTTGGCTCACTAAGTGACTAACCCGTGGTGAGCCGGGCCTAGTCAAGTCGGGTTATCCGTTTTGACATCTCTATATGAAACTATAAGTTGTATATACATTTGAGTTTCATAAGTTTAACTTGGTAATATTTAATAATGATTGTCAATTTTAATATGATTTCTTAAAAGAAAGTACTATAACATTTATTTTATTTTGTGGATTGTATATATGCATATATACCTACTTTAAATGTATCTGACAAATCCTATATTTTTCAAGATGAGAGAAATTGCTATGTTAGATATGTGTTGTAGCTGATACTCATCACATTCATGCATCATAGGCAGCCACTAATAGGCAATTTGTGTCAACATTGATAATTCTAACTTTATTTTGCTGCTTCAATATTTCTTAGGATGCCTTAGAGCCGCATATGAGTAAGAAGACAATTAACAAGCATTGGGGTGAATATCATCGGAGTCTTTTAGAAGGGTTGAACAAACAGCTAGAGAAGGACGATATACTATATGGTTACACCATGGATGAACTAGTCAAAGTGACATACAACAGTGGAAATCCTTTCCCTGAATTCAACAATGCAGCTGAGGTACTTGTTACATTGTTGCTCATAGGCTTTGAACAATAAATCAATTCTGAAATTGCATGCTTGTTCGTAAAACTATTGAAAATGCTCCGTTCTATATTATATAGGAAAATTAGAATATACACAATGTTCACAATATTAAACATCCTCCAAGATTTGCAAATTTACACTCACCTCTCATCTTTCTTCAGAAATCACACTTACTCCCTTTTATCCTTTGTATATGAATGGTATATATGACTGGAAAAGAAAAATTGAAGAGGGAAGTTGAGATTAATTTTGTTAAATCTCAATTAAGTGTAATGTAGTCTGGGTTGTTTTTATTCAAAGAAGTACACAAAAAGTTTCTCTTATATATGAATTATATCTATGAAGAGCATCGGTATAATAATTGTTAGTATTTTGAAGGTTGTGAAAGGAGTAGTTGATGTGGTAGAGAAAATGTAGAGATAGTTGAATGTAGAAGTAGTAGTTGAAAGAAGTGTTGTAGTTGTCTTTATTATTGTAGTAGATCTTGTCTTCTTACAAATGGTAGATGTTGGCTTCATACAAATGGTAGATGTTGGCTACATACATCAAATGGTAGAGTTCATGGGTATTTATAGACCCATAGATTATTCTAGAACATCCTAGGCACAACTTATGTGGAATGTTCTAGATTTTTACCTATGTAGAATATTCTAGATTTTTCTTCCTATCTTAGGTTTTTCTACAACATTCTAGAATTTGTATTGCATTTCAATTCTTCTATCTTAGGAGCTTCTAGATTCTTCTAGAATTTGCATTACACTTTAATACTCCTCCTTAATGCAAATTCGGTAACTTCAAGCATTATGCGCTGTAGTTCAAATCTTGGCCTTGGTAACATATCTTTAATTTGATCTTCTTCCTCCTTTGCCTTGACCATAGTTCTTGCTTTGATGCTTCTTCATAACAGTAAGGCTCAATCATGGCCATATTGCAAGTTTCATATATGCCTACCAAAGATCTTACTCTTCTTGGACTAGATTCATGTGAAGAACCTTCCTGTTGTGGAGGTGGAGAAAGCGTACCTGAATTTTCTGCCTCTTCTTGAGTTTCTTCTTGAGATTGTTGCACTGGAAGTAGAATGTTGCTTTTAACAACTTTTTCTTCTTCCCAATTCCAAGAAGCATTTTCATCAACTTCAACATCTCGACTGATGATGAGTTGTTTTGTTTGTAGGTTGTAGACTCGATAGCCTTTTGACTGTGTGCTATATCCCAAGAATATTCCTTGTATAGTTTTGTCTTCAAGCTTGTGCCTCTTTTGATCAGGAACATGTATGTAGCAGATAGATCCAAATACTCGTAGATGTTTAGCTGATGGCTTTCTCCCACTCCAAGCTTCAATAGGAGTCTTGTCTTGGACGGCCTTAGTTGGGCATCTATTTAGAATGTAAACTGCAGTGTAGACTGCTTCAGCCCAAAAAGTGTTAGGCATACTTTTCTCTTTCAGCATTGATCTTGCCATCTCCATAACTGTGCGATTCCTTCTCTCTGACACGCCATTTTGTTGTGGAGTATATGCGACTGTAAGTTGTCGCTCTATGCCTTCATCTTCACAGAATTTGTCAAACTCGTGAGATGTGTACTCCTTGCCACGATCACTTCTAAGTACTTTTAGTTGTTTTCCACTTTGCTTCTCAACAAGGGCCTTGAATTTCTTGAATACTCCAAAAACTTCTGACTTTGCCTTTAAGAAATAGACCCATGTCATTCTAGAGAAGTCATCGATGAAGAGGATGAAATACCTGTTGTTATGATGTGAAGGTGTTCTCATCGGTCCGCAAACATCGGTATGAATCAACTCCAATAAGTCTTTTGCTCTCCATGCTTTGTCTGTCGAGAATGGTAATCGATGTTGTTTTCCGAGGAGACATCCTTCACATGATTCATTATTCTCCTTCAAGCATGGAAGATCTCTCATCATGTTTTTCGTATATAGAAGCTTTAAGGCATGTGTGTTGAAGTGGCCAAATCTCCTATGCCAAAGCCATGAGTCATCAACTTCTACCTTCATGGCAATATTAGTTCCAGGTTTGAAGCTTATAGGAAAGCTTCTATTTCTCTTCTCCATTTTTACTTGGCCAATTTCTATCATTTTATTGTCATAAATTTTGCATGTATCTTTCTCAAAATGAAGAGAATATCCATTCTCCATCATTTGGCCAATACTTAAAAGATTTTCTTTAAGATTTGGAACTAGTAAAACATCCTTGATGAATTTCGTACCTTTCTTTGTCTCCACCATGACAGTTCCTTTGCCTCGAGACTCCACTGTGGTGCCATTTCCTAGCCGAACTTTGACATTGACAGATTTATCAATGTCTTTGAAGATGCTTTGATCTTTCGCCATGTGATTGCTGCATCCACTATCCAAGTACCAACTTCCTTCTCTACCAGAAGATTCTTGATTGGCGTAGAATAAGAGTTTCTCTTGATTATCTTCTTCCGCAAAGTTTGCTTGATACTTATTTTTATTACGACAATACTTTTCTACGTGACCAAATTTCTTGCAATAGTGGCATTGAGGTTTTCCATGATGCCAACAATCTTTTTCCAAGTGACTTGTCTTTTTACATATGCCACATGGAGGATATTTTTCTTGACGAGTCTTCGAGAAGCTTCTAGGATTTTCTTTATTTCTAGAAATTTCTTCTCTACTTTTATTTCCTTCATATTCTTTATTCTGAGACCGTAATTTTAGTTTTGATTGAAAGGCATTTTCAACCGAGTCTTCTTCATGCCTTTTCAATCTTTGTTCATAAGCTTCAAGAGAGCCCATTAGTTGTGTGACTGACAATGTAGCCAAATCTTTTGTTTGTTCAATCGCGGTTGCGATTGCATCATACTTTTGGGGAATAGAAATTAAAATTTTCTCAACGATCTTTTTGTCAAGAATATTTTCCCCATAGGCTCTCATCTGACTAACTATTTCTTTTATTCTAGAATAGTAGTCTTTAATGGTCTCAGATTCTTTCATTCTTAATAATTCAAACTCTCGTCTTAGAGAATGAAGTTTAATATTGCGTACCTCGTCACTTCCTTGAAACTCCTCTTGTATTGTATTCCAAGCTTGTTTTGCACTTGTGGCACCAATTATCCTTGGAAAAATTGTCTCATCAACTGCTTGTTGAAGAACAAATAAAGCCCTTGAATCCTTCTGCTTGTTTTCTTTCAACTCCTTCTTTTGAGCTGCAGTAAGAGTAGAGGTGTCTTCTGGAATATTGAATCCCTCTTCTATGATATCCCATAAATCTTGAGAGCGGAAGAATGTCTTCATTTTGACACTCCAAAAATCATAATTTTCTCCTTTGAAAATAGGTACTGGAATTGATGATGTTTGATTAGTAGTAGCCATGTGTTGAGAATATATTTGGAAGTAGTAGAATGAGTTATAGTTTTGTTTGAGGTAGTTGAAAATTTTATCTACGCCCAGTAGATGACCGAACGTAGCTCTGGTACCACTGTTAGTATTTTGAAGGTTGTGAAAGGAGTAGTTGATGTGGTAGAGAAAATGTAGAGATAGTAGAATGTAGAAGTAGTAGTTGAAAGAAGTGTTGTAGTTGTCTTTAGTTGTAGTAGATGTTAGCTCATACAAATGGTAGATGTTGGCTTCATACATCAAATGGTAGAGTTCATGGGTATTTATAGACCCATAGATTATTCTAGAACATACTAGCCACAACTTATGTGGAATGTTCTAGATTTTTACCTATGTAGAATATTCTTGATTTTTCTTCCTATCTTAGGTTTTTCTAGAATATTCTAGAACTTGTATTACATTTCAATTCTTCTATTTAAGGAGCTTCTACATTCTTCTAGAATTTGCATTACACTTTAATACTCCTCCTTAATGCAAATTCGGTAACTCCAAGCATTGTGCGCAGTAGTTCAAATCTTGGTCTTGGTAATGCCTTCGTAAATATATCTGCAATTTGGTCTTCTGTTGGACAGTACTCGAGTCGAATTTGTTTAGTTGTCTCTTCATCTCGAATGAAGTGATATTTAATGGCTATATGTTTTGTTCTTTGATGATGGACTGGATTTTTTGCTATTGCTATTGCCGATTTGTTATCGCAATAGATAATAGTCGGTCCATCTTGTGGTTCACCCATTTCTTCAAGTATTCTTCTTAGCCATATTGCTTGACTTGTGGTTTCAGCAGCTGCTACATACTCTGCTTCTGCTGTTGATTGTGCCACGGTTGCTTGCTTCTTTGATGCCCAAGATAAAATACCCGATCCTAGTGAGAAAGCATATCCTGACGTACTTTTCATGTCATCCATTGATCCTGCCCAATCACTATCTGTGTAGCCAATCATCCTTGAGTTACTCATGGTTTTGTACCATATACCAAACTCCTTTGTGCCTTGTAGATATCTTAAAATTCTTTTTCCTACTCCATAATGAATTTGACTTGGCTTTTGCATGAATCTTGATAGAAGACTTGTAGCATACATAATGTCTGGTCGTGTGGCTGTGAGATACAGAAGACTTCCAATTAAGCTTCTGTAGCATGATGCATCTACCTCTTGTGCTCCATCATCTTTTTGTAGCTTCTCGTTTACCACCAGTGGAGTAGTGACAGGTTTACAACCATTCATCTTGAACTTCTTTAATAGAGCTTCAATATATTTCTTTTGAGAGATAAATATACCTTCCTTTTCTTGTTTCACCTCTATACCGAGGAAATAGTTCATCAAGCCAAGGTCAGTCATTTCAAATGTCTTCATCATGTCTTCTTTAAATTCTATCATCATCTCTATATTGTTTCCTGTATAGATAAGATCATCGACATATATAGAGACAATGAGATGGTACTGACCTTGTGCCTTAATATATAGTGTTGGCTCACTCTTGCTCCTCCTGAATCCTTGATCGATGAAGTATTTATCAATCTTGCTATACCATGCTCGAGGAGCTTGCTTCAGGCCATATAATGCTTTTTTAAGTCTTAGTACTTTGCCTTCATTGCCTTCGTTGATGAAGCCCTGTGGTTGTTCAACATAAATCTCTTCTTCGAGCACCCCATTTAGAAAGGCTGACTTGACATCCAATTGATAGATGTTCCATCCTTTTTGTGCTGCAAGAGCTATTAAAACTCTAATTGTATCTAAGCGAGCAACTGGAGCAAATGTCTCATTGTAGTCTATTCCTGGTTGCTGTGAGTAGCCTTTGGCAACCAATCTTGCTTTATGCTTTTGTATAGTTCCATCAGGATTGAGCTTTGTTTTATATATCCATTTGACTCCAATGATGTCTTTTCCATGAGGGCAATTTACGAGTTCCCAAGTGTTATTCTTCTCAATCATTTTAATCTCTTCTTCCATAGCCTTGACCCATACTTCTTGCTTTGATGCTTCTTCATAACAGTTAGGCTCAATCACGGCCATATTGCAAGTTTCATATATGTCTACCAAAGATCTTACTCTTCTTGGACTAGATTCAGGTGAAGAATCTTGTTGTGGAGGTGGAGAAAGCGTACCTGAATTTTCTTCCTCTTCTTGAGTTTCTTCTTGAGATTGTTGCACTGGAAGTAAAATGTTGCTTTTAACAACTTTTTCTTCTTCCCAATTCCAAGAAGCATTTTCATCAACTTCAACATCTCGACTGATGATGAGCTTTTTAGTTTGTAGGTTGTAGACTCGATAGCCTTTTGACTGTGTGCTATATCCCAAGAATATTCCTCGTATAGTTTTGTCTTCAAGCTTGTGCCTCCTTTGATCAGGAACATGTATGTAGCAGATAGACCCAAATACTCGTAGGTGTTTAGCCGATGGCTTTCTCCCACTCCAAGCTTCAATAGGAGTCTTGTCTTGGACTGCTTTAGTTGGACATCTGTTTAGAATATAAACTGCAGTGTAAACTGCTTCAGCCCAAAAAGTATTAGGCATACTTTTCTCTTTCAGCATTGATCTTGCCATCTCCATAACTGTGCGATTCTTTCTCTCTGACACGCCATTTTGTTGTGGAGTATATGCGACTGTAAGTTGTCGCTCTATGCCTTCATCTTCACAGAATTTGTCAAACTCGTGAGATGTGTACTCCTTGCCACGATCACTTCTAAGTACTTTTAGCTGTTTTCCACTTTGCTTCTCAACAAGGGCCTTGAATTTCTTGAATACTCCAAAAACTTCTGACTTTGCCTTTAAGAAATAGACCCATGTCATTCTAGAGAAGTCATCAATGAAGAGGATGAAATACCTGTTGTTATGATGTGAAGGTGTTCTCATCGGTCCGCAAACATCGGTATGAATCAACTCCAATAAGTCTTTTGCTCTCCATGCTTTGTCTGTCGAGAATGGTAATCGATGTTGTTTTCCGAGGAGACATCCTTCACATGATTCATTATTCTCCTTCAAGCATGGAAGATCTCTCATCATGTTTTTCGTATATAGAAGTTTTAAGGCATGTGTGTTGAAGTGGCCAAATCTCCTATGCCAAAGCCATGAGTCATCAACTTCTACCTTCATGGCAATATTAGTTCCAGGTTTGAAGCTTATAGGAAAGCTTCTATTTCTCTTCTCCATTTTTACTTGGCCAATTTCTATCATTTTATTGTCATAAATTTTGCATGTATCTTTCTCAAAATGAAGAGAATATCCATTCTCCATCATTTGGCCAATACTTAAAAGATTTTCTTTAAGATTTGGAACTAGTAAAACATCCTTGATGAATTTCGTACCTTTCTTTGTCTCCACCATGACAGTTCCTTTGCCTCGAGACTCCACTGTGGTGCCATTTCCTAGCCGAACTTTGACATTGACAGATTTATCAATGTCTTTGAAGATGCTTTGATCTTTCGCCATGTGATTGCTGCATCCACTATCCAAGTACCAACTTCCTTCTCTACCAGAAGATTCTTGATTGGCGTAGAATAAGAGTTTCTCTTGATTATCTTCTTCCGCAAAGTTTGCTTGATACTTATTTTTATTACGACAATACTTTTCTACGTGACCAAATTTCTTGCAATAGTGGCATTGAGGTTTTCCATGATGCCAACAATCTTTTTCCAAGTGACTTGTCTTTTTACATATGCCACATGGAGGATATTTTTCTTGACGAGTCTTCGAGAAGCTTCTAGGATTTTCTTTATTTCTAGAAATTTCTTCTCTACTTTTATTTCCTTCATATTCTTTATTCTGAGACCGTAATTTTAGTTTTGATTGAAAGGCATTTTCAACCGAGTCTTCTTCATGCCTTTTCAATCTTTGTTCATAAGCTTCAAGAGAGCCCATTAGTTGTGTGACTGACAATGTAGCCAAATCTTTTGTTTGTTCAATCGCGGTTGCGATTGCATCATACTTTTGGGGAATAGAAATTAAAATTTTCTCAACGATCTTTTTGTCAAGAATATTTTCCCCATAGGCTCTCATCTGACTAACTATTTCTTTTATTCTAGAATAGTAGTCTTTAATGGTCTCAGATTCTTTCATTCTTAATAATTCAAACTCTCGTCTTAGAGAATGAAGTTTAATATTGCGTACCTCGTCACTTCCTTGAAACTCCTCTTGTATTGTATTCCAAGCTTGTTTTGCACTTGTGGCACCAATTATCCTTGGAAAAATTGTCTCATCAACTGCTTGTTGAAGAACAAATAAAGCCCTTGAATCCTTCTGCTTGTTTTCTTTCAACTCCTTCTTTTGAGCTGCAGTAAGAGTAGAGGTGTCTTCTGGAATATTGAATCCCTCTTCTATGATATCCCATAAATCTTGAGAGCGGAAGAATGTCTTCATTTTGACACTCCAAAAATCATAATTTTCTCCTTTGAAAATAGGTACTGGAATTGATGATGTTTGATTAGTAGTAGCCATGTGTTGAGAATATATTTGGAAGTAGTAGAATGAGTTATAGTTTTGTTTGAGGTAGTTGAAAATTTTATCTACGCCCAGTAGATGACCGAACGTAGCTCTGGTACCACTGTTAGTATTTTGAAGGTTGTGAAAGGAGTAGTTGATGGGATAGAGAAAATGTAGAGATAGTTGAATGTAGAAGTAGTAGTTGGAAGATGTGTTGTAGTCGTCTTTAGTTGTAGTAGATGTTGGTTCATACAAAATGATAGATGTTGGCTACATCTTACATCAAATGGTAGAGTTCATGGGTATTTATAGACCCATAGATTATTCTAGAACATCCTAGGCACAACTTATGTGGAATGTTCTAGATTTTTACCTATGTAGAATATTCTAGATTTTTCATCCTATCTTAGGTTTTTCTACAACATTCTAGAATTTGTATTGCATTTCAATTCTTCTATCTTAGGAGCTTCTAGATTCTTCTAGAATTTGCATTACACTTTAATAATAATCGATTACATACATGTATTCAATGGGAGAGTGAATAATCTTCATGATATGTAAACCAAGGGAAATTTATATTATAGCACTTTAAAAACTGAAATTTCATCTTTTAGCTTCAATATTGTAAGGGGGATTCATTATTCTGACATACTAAGATATCTGTGGTTGCAGGGATGGTTTGAACTTAAGATTGGGGTCAATATGTTGACAAGTAACTTGCTTACTGCTATAGGATAGGTACTGAACATGACAATTTATACTAAGAAAACATAAATGACTTTTAGGGCAGGTACCCAATTAACATAGTTCCTTTAATTTCAGCCTAGAGAAAAATGAATTTTTCACGCATTTGTTGAGAATGTGAATTTTGGAGTTCTCTCCACTTTTCTACTTACATATCTATTTTTTTTGCTTATTTTTTTATCTATTAAAACTTTAGGGCTCTAAAAGTTGTCTACAAAGTGTAAAAATACTAAGTTATGTTAGGCAATGCCGTTAGTACTCAGTCCTCATTCACAACAGATGCATCAGTTATCTATTTGTTAATTATACTTTTAGTTAGTTTTGTAAGATAGTTTCATTAAAGCATGTTGCCCGTAAATAAGAAGAGAGGTGAAGAGGGAGGGATATCTTATCATTTGCTAGAGAATATGCCTTGGGTCTTGCGAGGTGCAGTCCCATGAAGAAGTACTGAGTGTGTGTGAATGTTCTATTCTGTAAAATAGGAAGTTTGTCCCTATATCTCTCTCTGCAATAGAGATATCAAGTTTGTATCCCCATAAAAGTACTAATATAACAATCTGAGTTTGAAACCAAACAAATGTAACTGGGAATGAAACAAATTAATAATCTTTGTTCCGTTGGTTCCTGTATCATTTCCATTTGTATTTGTCTTTATGAAATCATTTTTCCTTCTCTAGATTGTAGTTTTTATTTCTTCAAATATTTATCTCAACTTTACTTGGTTGTTTGAATTTTCTATAGTTGGCATGATATTGAGAGCAGTCTGTCCTATCTTGTGATGAAGCTAATCTTGTCTAGTCATCTGTAATATTGATTAAATTACAATTGTGGTTTCTAGGTGCTTTTATATTTAAATGCTGTCTGTAATTAACTCTGCCCTTTCCACACAGGTTTGGAACCATGATTTCTTTTGGGAATCCATGCAACCAGGAGGGGGTGATATGCCCAAACTAGGTTTCCTTCAACAGATTGAAAAGGATTTTGGATCATTTATGAATTTTAGAGAGAAGTTTGTAGAAGCTTCCCTCACATTATTTGGCTCTGGTTGGGTTTGGCTAGTTTGTAAGTTCATTCCATATTGACCTCCCTATCTGCGGTCTCCCAATCCTTATAAAATAATGTTTTAGCTTCTCAAATTCCATATTATCTTCTTAATATGCCAAAAATCCTTGGATTTTCCTTGCAATAAGAGCCTCTATTATGTTTTATCTCGAGTGGTTGTTAAATTCTAATTTGATATATTGCTCTAACAATGCTGGTGATTGATGCTAATATTCATCGGTTGTTTTAGTGAAGAGAGAAGAGAAAAGACTGGAGATAGTCAAAACTTCAAATGCCATTTGCCCAATTGTGTGGAATGACATAGTAAGTTAATTTCCATTTTCCTCCATAAAATTTATTTCATTTAATATTGTAATTGAATATAATAATCTTTTCTCATGCAGCCACTTATCAATTTGGATTTGTGGGAGGTATGCCCTCTCTTTCTCTCTCTTCCTCTTACTCGAACAACTCAAACTACACCTGCAAATTACTTAATGAAAACCTTTATATAGTCATCACTAACTGACTTTTTTGTCGTTGCTGCAGCATGCATACTATTTGGATTACAGGGTATGTTTAACCATCATAAATCATTGGACATTTTCCATAAAGGTATTAACTTAACATTCATTGCGACTTTTGAACAGAATGATAGAGCAAAGTATGTGGATGTATTTTTGAACCACCTTGTATCTTGGGAAGCTGCAGCAGCCCGATTGACTTTTGCAGAGGCTTTTGTAAACTTGGGAGAACCAAAAATTCCTATTGCATGAAAATACAGAAATGCCTGAAATGCTTAATGATTATAGTGGTAGTAGCTACGACCATATGGCAACCTAGGTGGAGTTGGGGAAGGAATGAGTTTGCTTCAATCATCATTTACAAATTTTATAGTGCCCCGTGTGCTTCTCTCTGGTTGTCAAATTTTGCAGTATTTAGGATTCAGGACAACTTGACATTGGGGGAGATCTAGTGAATAGCAGGCAAGTATTTCAATGTATAACAATAGAGAAAAACAACCATGATCTTGGACTGATTATAGTCTTATTGTATGAAACTATGAATGCTATAATCAATGTGGCAAGAAACTGTTAAATTTTGAAACAAAGCACCACAATATGCAGTAATATTACTTGATATGGTAATTGATTCTTGCATCCCACAATACTAGAGAAAAGCTCACACCATTCATCATTGCACCACACCACCCTGCCGCTGCTTTCACCGCCTTTACCGTCTTCGAAGAAGAGAGGAAGAATGTTGCAGAGGAAGAAGAGAGAAAATACAGAAAAACAAACTCGTTTCGAGAAGTTTTTTCCAGAACGTATTTAATGGGTTTCAGAATGCTCTTTTCAGAAGACATTTCATGTATGGATGTTCTGGAAGGCATTATTTTAATTTTGGAAACATTTTTTTTTAAATCCTATTCCAGAACACATTTTACACATTCCGAAAATTATTTTCCAAAAATCACATTCTGAAAATTTCTTTTCAAAAATTCTGTTTTGAAAATTTTGTTCCAGAATATTATTTTGAAAAGCTTATTCTGAAAATTTTCTGAATTATATAATTCCGAAGTTACTTTTCAAAAGATAAAATGATCGTTTTGAATGTTTGAAGGGGTGCACGAAGAAATTGTGGGAGTACAAGGACTATGATATAAATAAACTCAAAGCCCTTTTAGATGAGCTTTTTTTTTACCATACTTTTGCATGAGAAATTGCTTTATGCACCCTATATTTTTTTTCTTGCATGAAACATGTGAAATCACACTCACAAGTCACAAAGAATATATCAAATTGCATTTTTCTGGAATACTCTAATATTTATTGGATTGAACAAGTTGGAATATACTTCTAGATTTGGTGAGAGATTTTGGATTGTACATTTAAAAAATGTGTGTTACGAAATATATAATCTGAAATGTTTCATCAAATCAAAAGTATATTCTAAATTATTCAATCCAAAACGTATACATACATAAATGTTTTGGAATGTTTAATTCGGTGGTACAGGGGCATTAGAAAAGGGAATCAGGAGACAAGAAAGAAAGAAAGGGATGTAAAATTAAGGTTTTAGAGTTTCTAATAATTTTTTAATGAAGGGTAAAAAGGGAATATAAAATTTATGGGTGGTGTATATAAAACCTATATAAATAAAATGATATTTTATTTTAATGATTTTATTTTATGATATTAAATAATAAATGGTGTGGTGGGACCATGATGTGAGAAAGTGGGAGTAAGGTATTGAAAAGTCAAAGGAAAAGAAGGAGATGGAGAAGGGGCATGCATGGTGTGTACGTAAATTGTGGTGGAGTTTGTGAAGAGAAAAAGTATAATAAAGTAGCATGAGTAAATAGGTGTAGAACCGTGAGTTAAATGAAGGAGAGAGAGAAGAGAAAATGGGTGGTGTGAGAACGGGTTGTGTTACTTAAAAAGAAATGGTGCATGGGAGAGAGATTAGTCATCTTAACTTAGAAAAGTGAGTAAAAGTAATAGAATGGGAGTGGGGTCCACGGTTTTTGAGAAAAGATGTAGGAAAAGTGAACTTTGTGTAATAGAATGAGAGAACAAAAGAGGAAGAGAGAAAGGGAAGAGAGTAGTTACGTAAAAACCAAAGAAAAAAGATAGAGAGAAGAGAGTTTTTGGTGAGAAATAAATGTGTCATGTGAGGTCCACTTGGTGAGAAAAAATGAGTTTTGTTTCAATTCTAAAAGGACTAATGGGATCCATTTGTGTGGGTAAAATATAAAAAGAAAGGATATTTAAGACAAAAATGGTACATTAAAAAGGTATGTTGTTATGTGTTGTGAATTTAGTAGAAATGGGGTACACTAGAAATATTTGTTCCAGTGGACTAGTTGTGAAATTAATAATTTCACCCGATGCGTCACTAAAAAATTATTAAATGATTTAATTGTAAAAATTAATTTATTTAATTATTTGTAAATTTTAATTAATTGTTAGGTAATGAATTTGGTTTACTTATACATGTTATGTGAAATATATATGGTTGTGATGGTGTTGTTTTGGGGGGCAAATGTTATTTTCTTGGAATTTTGTTGAACGAATGATGTTCTTATTGTGATACGATGGTGTGTGGGTCTCTACGGAGACAGAGATTCGAGTGTCACCCTACCTCGTGTGCGAGAACTTGAGAGGGTTGGATGTCTCGCTCAATGACTTCAGTTCGTGCTGAGTATAGTTCACTAGAGCGCATAGTGTCGGTGTTTTTACTCGTTAGTCCTTGAAGAGTCGCGAAGATAGGTCTGAAGTTGCGATAGAAGACGACTCAAATCACCCTATTTTGCGAAACAGGTTTGGTACGACAAAATTCAAGAAAACAACATGAGCTTGTATGTATGATTCGTGTTATGAGTTAAACACTGAGATGTGTTGTGATGTATATGACTATGATAGTTTGAGTTGTGTATTGAGATGTAATGTGATGTCGGCGTTATGAGTTGTGTAATGAGATGTAATGTGATGTCGGAGTTATGAGTTGAGTATTAAAATATAATGTGATACAACGACTAGTATGGTCTGTGTTTTAATGATATTACACTGAATTGTATGTTATGTTATGTTCTTAGTTACTCACCCTTTTCTTTTGTGGTTGTGGTTCCACCTGCAATGATCGTACTTGTACGAGAGTAGATAGATGGTGTTGTAAATAAGGCAGCGCTGGAGTAGCATGACGAGAGATATGAGAATTAGTTGTGGGGAATTTATCATGTTTTGAAGTTATTTTATGTTTTTGAATAATGGATTTGATATTTGTAAGGTTTGAACATTATGTTGTAAGACGTTTAAACTTTTGAAGTTTTTGTTTCCACGATGTTATTTAAATGAGAAAATTTTGGATTTTATTAATTAACAAGTGACACTCCGTAAGGGGTGTTACAATGTAGGAAGAAAAAAAGAAGTGTAGGAATAAATGTCTCGATTAACATACAATATATACTTGCATAAGTCCGCACTCATTTAAGTTTAAATTTTGCCTAAATTTATATTTGGAAAGGGAAAATTATCATATCAAGTTTTGAATGACTTGCTCATCAACTCTGTATTATCAAGCAGAGCATATAACACCAAGATCTTCATCTCTTCATCTATATTTGCTTCCGCTACTTTCATTGATCATCATGGAGTCCACCTTTTTGAAGAAGTTTCATCAACTCATCATGGAGATCATCTTATGTCGAAGGAGCCTCCTCAAAGCAACCTCCATCATTTTCTATCAAGAGTTATAGTCTCTATCTTGGAAGTCTTCAAGAGATAAGTGTTTAAAAGTTCTTACCCATTTATGTTCTTGTGAATTCCTTATTGTTTCATTTTTGCCAACATGTCAAATATGTTGTTTGAGTCATGAGTATGTGTTGTATGTCTTGAAATATTGCTTCAAATTAAATTTTCTTCTTGAATCATCCATGTTGTGTGCCTAGGGTTTTCATTTTTCTATTTGTATGTGTGGAGAGTTTATGGTTTTGGGTCATCTTTTGAGTTATTTTCTCTACTTTTACGATCATATTGTTTTATCATAAGTCTTGTATATCGATATATGTCATCAGATCTTTGTTGAACTTGAAAGAAAAATTGAAAATATTAAAAACTTGAAGCCTACCCATTTTCTGAAATCTAGTGTAAAGAGTTGTCTGAACTTCAATTTTCAAAAATCAACTACAACTAGACTAGAGGTCCAAATGCTACGTTTTTATGTTATGGAAAGCGCTTTGAGTCTATTTCCTAGGAAAAAAGAACCATCTCATTTAGAGCTTTGTAGAAAAAGATATGGGTAAAACATTAAGCAAAGGAGAGTTATCCAATTCCAGCGTGAAATTTTGGATTTTGATGTTTTGGGTTTTTCTGGGTTTTCTTTGCGTTTTATAAGTGTATTAATACTTGTTACTAGTTCGTAATCTTAGTATTACGTTTCCATTAACTCATTTTTTTAGTTGTCAAAAGATCATTTGATTCCTTAGGATTTCCTACATACATCACTTGAATTAGTCTTGTTTTTTAATATGATTTGTGAAAAGATTATCCCTCAATAAAAAACAAAAGAAAATAAGAAAAGAAAAGGGACTAAAGAAGGGGAAAAAATTGCCAAAAAAAAAGGACACAACAACAACAAGAAACTCAATTTTGAACTTGAATTTAAGTGTTCTTTGCATTTTTCCAGCAAGTGTTTTGCCTTGGCTAATCTAGTTGGTCTTATATTCTTAGTTTTATTTTGGTTTTATTCATCTATTCTAGAACCTTTCCTTAGGGATTCCTTTTGAGTACTTACCTAATTGATACCCTTAATTTTTTTCTTATCATTCTTGGCTTTCTTTAAAGTGTTATCACATCTTACTCCATTTGAGTTTAGCTTTCAAATTGTGTTTTTGTTGCTTTCATTCTTTGGACACTTTGGTGCTTGAAATCAGATTTTTCTGGAGCTTTCTTTTGGGAGTTTAACTAACTTTGAAGGTAGCATCTTGAAGGCTTGAAAGAAGGCTAATAGAAGCATTTCTTTGGACTTGGGAAGAAGGAGTTCTTACATGGATTTGGAGTGAACATAAAGAGACGATAAACACTTGAAGAAACTAAGAATATATGAGTTTTTTTTTGCATTTTTATTTGTTGTTTTGTATCACAAAACCTCTGTGTTCTTGTAATTTTTTAGTTTCATTTGGTTATTTGCTTGGTGTCTTGGGAAAATGTCTTTGGTACAATCCCATCTCCATTTATAAAATTGTGTAATAGTTTAGTTTCCACTCGTAGAAGTGAAGGTGTGTCAAGTGGCTCTTAAGTGTCATTTGCATTTTCACATAGGGTCGTTAGTTTACTTGTTTACATAGTATTCAATTCCTTCCATTTTCCTTTTATACATTGTATTGTTTATCTTTTAAGTCTCCTTGGTACTTAGGTTGGTTGAAAGCATTTTAGATAAATCTTTCTTTGGTTTTAGGAGCATTCTTTACATTTGCATTTAAAAAAGTTTTAGAAGATTTCTTCTTAGAAGCTTAGGTAAGGCAACTCAAGGACACTCTGTCTAGGAAAGACTTGGTTTCTAAGCTTGTCCATTGTGACTCACCTTTCTTTCTTGGGAGATACTTG